GAGGTTTGACTGCTGCTGGCCTCCCAGTCAGCCTGGGCAAGACAGCTTTTGTATGCTCGTCTCCAAAAGTTGAAGCTGCCCTTAAAGAGTATCTTCCTGAATCTGATCAAATCAAGAATGCCGCGAAGGACCTGGGGATTGATTGTACGGCTGGGCGTGGAAGGCGCATTCCGTTCCACCGTAAAAGGTTTGGGAAGGGCGTTAAGCGCAAGGCTAGGCTCTCGACCTTGCGTGTGAAATCGATGCCAGCTAGGGTCAGAGCCCTGAGGGCGGGGGTCCAAACTGTGGGCCTCTATGGCCATGAGGCAGTTGGGCTTGCGCCAAAGCGTATGCATTGGTTGCGTGCTTCCTTCGCACATGAATTGGGGCGAATGTCTTTGGGCTCGGTTGACCTCACCATTGACCATGCGTGCCCTAAGCGGCCGGACCCGGCCTTTGTTATCATTTCCCAGCATTTCAAGGCCATTCACAGGCTTCTGGGCTTCATTCCCGATAGCCAAAGGCAGCACTTTGATGATGTTTTGCCGGGTATGTGGCTTGAATACTCACAGGTGGAGTACCCGTGGAAGCGCGCTGCAGGGCCGGTTGGGGCCCTTCTATGTTACCTGCTTGACTTGGGTTGGACCCCGGTCAGTGCGGACACTTGGAAATGCCCTGAACAACCGCACAGCGTCACCACCAAGGTAGGCATGCACCACCTCCTTTGCTCCCTGTCTAAGGAAACAGATAGGTGGAGGCTCGCTTGTATAGCCCAGCACGACATGCTTGAACCTCTGAGTGTGGGAATTGATTGGGCCCCCCTCAGAAAGCTTAGGAATAAGATGGAAGGCCAGGAGAGGTCAGGACTCATGGCTGTTTGGCAAGGAGCAATTCGTGCTGATCCTTGTGCCACTTGCCTGAGGTGCGGCTGTGCTGCTACCATGCAACATGTCTTATGGGAGTGTGACTGGTGGCAAACCAACCTCCCGGAACCGGTTTCCTTTCCTAGATTTCGGCAAGAGTGGCCCATTTCGTCACTGTGGGCCAGGGGCCTTCTGCCGATTTCGCCTTACCCTGATGATGGGGAATGGGTACGAACTACTGGTGCCTGGTGTGATGGCCAGATCATTTGTGGCGAGGCGATATACTTTGCTACGGATGGCTCCCCGGGGAAATCCAAGGACCCCAGGTTCCATCGGTATACCTGGGCTGCGATTGCCTTTAAGCTTGAAGGGGATGAGCCCGTCACGATCGCGACAGCTGTCGGCTCACTGCAATCTCCGCTATCGGTGTTCCGGGCGGAGGCAGCGGCTGTCAAGTTTGTAGCTGAGCATAGTGAAGGGAACGCAGACCTCACCTTGGATTGCAAGGGCATCCTGCCCAGAGTGAATGGTACACCTTCCATCCAGTCTGCCGACCTCTTCGACCCCATTCGACTGCATGCACAGAGACTCAGCCTTAACTGGGTATCCTCGCATTTAACGGAAGAACAATTCCGAGCAAAGTTTGGTGCTAACCAACTTTGGAGGCGACGTGCTAACGAAATTGTGGACCAGCTTGTTGGCACGGCTGCCGAAGCTCGTAGGGACCTGAACTTTGAATCCCAAATTAAAAAGCGTGATGCAGTTGCCATTCAGGTTAACACCTTACTGGCCAGGAGAGCTGCAGCTCTCCTTTCGTATGACAAGGACCAAGGACCGCTGGTTCAGTGGCCTGACAAAGAGCAACGAAAGCTCCGCCAAAAGCCCAGGGTCAGGGATTCGGGTGTCCTGAAAAATTCTAAGCTCCCCAAAATCAAAGGTCCTAACAAAAGGGAACAGATTGAAGGCCTTCTTGCTGGTACACAGAACTTGGGGCACACCTGGGTAGAGGGTTGTAGGCTTCCTTCCAACCTTTCAGCGCGGTGCTCGAGGTGTGAGCTATACATCCAGCAGACTGAGCCCCTCCCTACCTTTTCCCTTAAGATCAAGCACCCTTGCCTAGGTGTTCAGGCGGACCCTCCTCCTTGGGATCCCCACCCTGATCATGTGTGGGTTAATTTAGGTAAGTCTTGGGTTTGCTCAAAGTGTGACAAGATGGTCAAAGTTGGTGTCCGCAAAATCCCGACCTGGATTGTAGCGCCTTGCAGGCCCACCAAAAGTAAGGTTGCTACTGCTAGCTCCAAAAAAGCAAAGGAGGTGACTGACACTGGGGTTCAAAGTGTTCGGGCCTTTTTTGTGTCGTCCTCCAGTCAGGAACCTTCACCTAAAATTTCTGTTCCCAAGCCTAAGCCAAAATCCAAAGCGAAGCAGTCTGGGCTCAAGCAAGCTAAGATTGCCTTTTAGCACGCTGCCGCTAAGACTGCCTCCTGAGTATGCCTCCGAAGCATAAATCCCCTGCCTCCAAGGCCTACTCAAAAGCCCGGCCGGGCAAGCGAGAGAGAGCTCGGCTTAGAGGTGCAGCTCCTAAGAGAGCGCCGCCTGCTGGTGTGAACCCCCCGCCTCCCAGGCGGAGAAGGGTGGAACCGCAGGATGAGCAAGCCCCTGAGCCCGGGCCACAACAAGTGCAACCCCCTGAGCCCTTGGTGGATAACCAGGCTCAGGGGAGGAGGAATCCTGGAGTTGTGCTTCGGGAAAATCCTCAGCTCGAGCAGCACAATCCTGTGCACCGCCCCCCAGCCGTGGTGGCAAACCAGGCTGAGAGGGATGAACCTCCTGGAATTGTCCTTCGGGAGAATCCCCATGCACCTGGGGCTGGTCCGGTTTTGGGTGCCCCAGACCAGGACAGCTGCTCTGAAGAAAGCGAAGAGGAGCCAATGGTGCCTGATCCCATTGTGCATCCCGAGCCTCCTCCAGCACCGCCAGCTGCGCCTATGTTGCCTGCCCCGTTGAACTTTGACGATATGGATCAAGAAGCGGGCGCAGCCTTTGCTATTGCTGAGAGGGCTCGCAATACCAAGCCAGGACTGGTGGCTTTCAAATCCGACCTGGGCTATCCTGGTGTTTTCCAGGCCCTTCCCAAGGACCTGATCCACGTGTGGTTCAACGACACGGGGGACAGCACTGCGGCGTATATCCACAATGGAAGAACCAGATTCGGATATGACGCTGGTGGGGGCTACGTCTTGAAGGTTGGGACGAAGCAGGCCTTTGGTGATGAGGTGGCGATTTCGGCCTTGCTGCCTAAGGTGGCAGCCACCATCATTGGGGCTGGATCTACGACACTGCAGGTGCTGCTCTCTGGGCGACCATGGGAGTTCAGGTCCCATTTGGTGGCGTGGTCGATGGTGGAAAAAATCGAGCTCCTCACGGATTATGGTTCTCGGAACCAGATCCACCCTCAGTGGTCCTTGTATGCCTTCGCCCTCCTTTTGCAATTGAGCCGTCATTTTGCTCTTCGTGATGTGTCAAAAACCAACCTGGGAATTAAGCCAGGACTCAGTGCTGCGACGCCCATGTTGTGTTTTTTCGACCTCGCGGATTGGCACTTCGAAGGGCTTAATGCTGGAAGGTGGATTCCCAAGTATAGCTTGCGCAGCTTCGTCGAGACCCTTCGATGTGTCTGTGACGTTACGCCACTGGAGCCGTATCTCCGCAGGCAGGCGGTGGTCCCTTGCCTCAACGAGATTATTGCAGGTCTCCCCGCTGCGCTCAAGGCAAACTTGGAAATCCAAATGGTCCTCATGGACGGCCGACTTTCTGTTTGGGCTCACCTTGCTGCATTGGCTAACCAATAAGCTTGGGCCTTCCAAGCTTTTGGTGCTGTCAGTCAGGTCTTGGGGTCTCCAGACCATTCAAGGCGTGGGCCCAGTCTTGTTTGCTGTGTGTGGTTGCAGATGCTCGGGTTGTTGAACCCCGACTGTCATTGCCTGCTACCGTGAGTCGTGCTTGGGCGTTCCAAGTGCAGCTAGGCCTTGGTGTAACCAGGCCTCAGGCATGGGTGCCAGCCTGAAGTGAGTGGCGCAGCTTGTAGCTGTAGGGTAGGTGTAACCCCGACTGTCTCACTTCTGAGCTTGGACTCAAGGCCTACTCCTTGCAGCTACTGCGTGAGTGGTTTTTTTTACTTTCTTAGGGTAGGTGTTCACCCGACTGTTTCACACAGAGCCAATGGACTCAAGGCCTCCGGCCGCTTCGTGCTTGCGTGGTGAAAAATTCACCTGAAGCCACAGGAAGTATGCCCTGTGCATCAAGAGGCAGCCACCGTAACCAGAGTCCATGAGGCCTTGGGCCATGACCTGGTTTGAAGACATGTCCGGCCTCACTACGGTTGAGGGGTGTGGATGGAAGCACTCAGGACATGCAATGAGACTCGTAGAACGAGCATCTGGGTCTACAGGAATGACCTCCATTCGGTTGAGGGATAGCGGCCTCCACGAACGAGGGCATGGATCACCTCCCGAATAGACAACACAGAGAATGTGCAAGCATACAGGCAATTTGCCTTGGCCAAAGTCTTCAAGCCAATGGCAACGACTTGGTCAAAACGACATTCCGGCCTCACTTCGGTTGAGGGTAGCGGTACGTCAAAACCGAGGACAAGGAATGAGAGGGGGAACTTACCGGCAGTTTCACCCCACAGTTTTAGTAAGCTTTTGTTTCACTTGAACCCACAGCCCCTTCGGGTGGCTACGCCTCGCAGCGTGCAGACGAAAAATTCACCTGGCTCAAGTTGTGGCTCAAAACGCTGCACGCAGTGCCGTCGTGGCCAGCCTTGGGGCCTACTTTCCTAGAGGTCTCTACCGGGCCCAAACCGCAACCATAAAGGTCGTAGGCTGGCTGTCCAGCAAGGGTTGGGCGGGGTAGCGGTCTCTTCCAGTGGAGGCTCAGGGCCGACACTGAAGCGCGTAGTTGAGCCATTGCATTTCCCTTGAACACTTGAACAGTCTTGCTTGCACAGTCCGCTTGATTTTCTTGAAAAAGGGAACTTTGTTTTGAAGGCCTTGCTTGCGAAACGCCCTTAGTTTTGTTGCCTTACTTTTCTCGCAGTACAGTTTTCTTGAAGAGCGGCAGCAATCGCGGCCGAAGTTGCGCCGGCAAGTTGGCATGAAGCAGCAAAGACCTTATTTTGTGTGCAAGAAGTGCGGCCCAGAGTCATGGATTTTCTGTGACAGAGCTGCCAAAGCTGAAACCTGCCACCTGTGCGGTGGTCGCTGGCCGAAGTACAAGGAGCAGCCTAGCTCCAAACCTGAGCGGGTCTGGCGATCCCAACAAGCTGTGCAGCCGAAAGGTTTTCGTCAGGACGGCAAGATCCACAAAGCGTTGCATTCTCTTTGGGAGAAGTTTACGCCGGAAGTTCAGCAGGGTTTGGTTGCTGCTGGATGGAAGCCCAAAGCTGAGCCGAAGCTTGAGGCTCCCCCTGGCCTGCCGAGGTTAGGGGCGGGAGGGCACTTAGGAAAGGGCAAAGGCAAAGGGAAGCAGAGTGAGCCGGCAGAGCATGACTCAGCTCATCAGGCCTTGTGGGAATCGGCAAGCTCGGAGCAGCGAGCATGGCTTCATCAGCTCGGCTTTCAGTGCCCCAGCCCGTCGGAGCCCTCAGATTTGAAGACACTGATCAACGCGCACATGGACCAGCTCCCGGAGACGCTTAGGCAAGCAATAGCCAGTCTTGAGCCGCCAGAGCCGGAACCTTCGGCCACAGAGCAAGTTTTGTCAGCCACGAAGAAATTCAAGGCAAGCACGAATGAGCTTCGTCAACTCATTCAGAAATCTGCAGGCTTGCAGGTCAAAATCGACCGTGCCAAAGCCACGTATGCAGATCTGCTGGACCAAATGAAGGCTGTCCAGACTGAATTGGCTGATAAGCAGTTGGAGGTCACCAAACTCCAAAAGGAACTGGAGTCCAAGGTCCAATCTGGAGCCGGGTTGCCGATTTTGCCAGGAAAGGAGGCCGTCCTTCTGGCATTAACGCAATGTGGCATCACCCTCAGCAGCGAGCAGCAGGCCCTTCTTGAAGGCAGCATGGATGTGGAACCTGCCCCTCTCGTTGCACCGAAACCGCATAACACGGAGGAAGAGATACTAGCATCGGCTCCCCAGCCGCAGGGTGCCCAGCCTCCTGCTGATTGGCCGGATGGACCGCGAGAGGGCAAGCATCGTTCGCGCAGTAGGGGCAGGGCTCAGGGCTAGGGTTCAGGGCTAGGAGGGGACGCCAGGCGTGTTTCTAGGCCTGTTGGGACGCTCTTGGGTGCAGCCAGTACTTGCAGTAGTGTCAGTGAGCAGCCTCAGCGGCGAGACCATGCCTCCACTTCCGCTCCGCAGTCCCGCTCTCAGCCAGTGCCTGTGCAATGCATTTCGGATGAAACCGTTGCAGTGCAAACTATGCCTGATGGAAGTGCATCTAGCCCGGTTTCCAGGGCTGCAGTTTTGGAAGATCCGGTTTTTGAAGACCCTGAGCTCCTGTGTGCTATTTGTGCTTCGCCGTTAGCGCCTTCACGAAGTGTGAGTTCTGCCTCAGGGCACATGCGTTCAATCGCGACTTGTCGTCTGTGCTTGTCCCAGGCCGCGTCAGCTACCAGCTGTGCTGGCCAGGACCATGCCGAGCATGTGGGTCGGGCAATCCCAGATGAACCTCTCCGCACATGCCCAGTGGCAAAACTCCTGCCCCTTCCTGAAGGTCAGTCGGCCGCTTCGCATGCTTCATTTGGTGAGGTTGCCTTAGTTGAACAGCCGCTCCTAGTACAGGATGTGCGCCATGCTGGCAGCACTCCTACTCTGCATTCATTTGCATCACACTCTGAAGGGGCAGGTCAACTGACCCCGGTTTCTCAGCAACACCTGCCCGATGTGCGCTGCGCTCCGAAATATTCCAGCGATCAAACTCGGAAGCCATATGTGCTGCAAGGACCGCGCATGCAGGCGCCGGAGGAGGCCAAACTTACCATCCCCCTCCCGAGCCCGTGTGCACCGGCCCAGGACAATGTTGCACATGTCACCTCCAACCTCAGCCCCAGTCGGGGTGAACCTGACTGGTGCCATGCCTTGCACCTCCTTGAGACAGCCGCTCACAGTTTTGCCCATGCTGAAGGCCGACCGATCACTCTGCGGTGTGGTGGGGCTTCGGCCGTCGTGAGTAGTGTGCAACAAGGCCTGCAAGGCACGAGAGTTCAGGGGCCTTCAGCCAGCACATCTGATCTGAGTAGGGCTCTGTGCTGCGATCTTTGCCTTGAAGACAGTTTTTGAAACCTACAGGTTGTTTCGGTATGCAGGCCAGCTGGTGACAGCTCTGTGTGAGACTTGTGCTGTGCATGTGGCTCATACCGTTTCTTCACAGTGCCGTTCCTTGACGATGAGGGCCCACCTTCCACGTAGTGCAGGCAATCTGTTGTGCAAGGGTCGAGGGGCTCTAGGGTTTCTTGGAGGTGTTAAGTCAGGTTCTCTTGAACCAGCAGAAGACCGCAACTGTGTTTTGGCCGATGTGCGCCTAGATGGCGGCACTCGGAAAATTGGAAATTCAGGCCCACGTGAGCGACCGCCGGGCATGAACCCAATCATATGCTTGAGCTGTGAGTGTGAGCCAGCATGCGCATTTAGTCGCGAGCCGCAGGTTGCACGATTCACCATGGCATGCCAAACAGTCCAAATGCAATACGAGGTGCAGGACCTTGATGGCCTAGTGCATGAGATGCATGATAAGTGTGTTTATTGCTTGGCCAACCAGGCCCTGGATCACACGGGATCAGAGTCAGGTGATGTTGGGTTGTTTCGCATGCGCCAGCAGAGAGCACCTAAATCCTGGCACTTGTCTGGTCCCCGTTTCTTCCCAGGCTCCTTCGCAGATGAGGGTGACGATGTCCCCAGTACCAATAGTTGTTTGCAGGGCTTTCGCATTGGGGATGAGTCCGGCGGCCCTAACCCCAATTTTCGGCAGGGTGGCCGGAGCGCTCACTTTCCTCCAGATGCCTTGGTTCAGCGTGCGGCAACAGGTGGCCCTCAGGTGAGCCCTCCCAGACCAGGGTGCCATAGCGTCCAGTCTCTGAGGGCTTCAGAGCCTTTGCTATCCACGGTTGGATGCTTGGAAGTTCCTCTGAGTTACAAGGTAGAGCAGCCTTTCAGTGCGGTGGAATGCCGTTTGGACCCATTTGTAGCCTTTTCAACACCAACTGTAGACCCTGCCCCAGGAGCTTGTGAAAATTCATACAAGGCAGGGTCTACAGTTGTTTCAGCCATTCCTAGTGCTGGTGAGTTTTCGGGTTTAATTGATCCGGGGTGCCTTGAGGCCGGACAGGAATGCCCAGCTGAAGCGTCATCAATGCCACGGGTGGTGGGTGCGCGCGCCGATTGCAGTTCACATCGTATTGGCCGATCCGGACAGCAGCGGCTAACACCAGCTGAGGCCGCTGCGGCTCAGATGTGGAAGCAGGTGCATCAGAGCATTCACCAGGGTAATGAGGAAAAATTGTTGGATGCCATTGAGACCTTGGAAAAGGGTGGTCACATGCATGAGGGCACCTTTGCTTGGACAGCTGCTGAGCTAGCGATCCAAAGTAGGTTTGATGTTCCCACTCATGTTGCCGCTTGGGCTGCTGAGGATGTCCTTGCGAATTTTGGCACCAAGCCAGCCAGATCAAACTTGACCTTCGTAAGTGCCAATGTGACCAGGTGGCGCAAAGACCTGGCACCCTGGATAGGGCAGCACCGCCCGTCTGTGTGCATCCTCCAGGAAACACATGTCCACCCGGACCAGGGCGATCTCATTGCTACTCACATGGCGCCGTTTGGATATAATGTGCTAAGTGTCCCGGGTCACCCCACTGGCAGTGGTGGCACTTCAGGGGGCTTTGCAGTGTGCTATCGTAAGCATTTGGACGTCAGGACTGTGCATCAATATGTTCACCAAGGCACCGGGTTCCAAGCAGTTGCCATGCGCGTCCGAAATTTTGATTGCTTTTTTGTTAATGTCTACCTCAAGGCAGGGGAGGGTTTTCAGAGTAGTACCAATGCCCTGATTTTGTCACACTTGATTCCCTTCCTGCGATCGGTGCGCGGAGAATTTGTTGCGGTTGGCGACTTCAATGAGGATTTTGAAATCTTGGCTGGTACCAGCATTGCGCAGGAAGCCAAAGGTCAGTGGATCAGTGCAGGTGAGTCCACGTGCGCCGGCGGTGGTAACATTGATTTTGGCCTGCTGTCGCCCTGCCTTGCGACAGGTGCGAGCCTAAATCTTGATTGGATTACCCCGTTTGCGCCTCACGCCGCTTTGCATTGGACTTTGAGTCTCCAGCACCTTGAGGTAAATTTGCCGCAACTATGCCGCTTTAAGTCTGTTCCCGTGCAACCTCAACCTTTTCATCCCCTCCAAGCCACCACCGACTCGGCTGGCCAGCCGGGGTGCCAATTTCAGCCGGCGCAGGATCCTACGATGCTAGGGGTCCGCGTTGTTAATCATGATCTTTCAGGCTTTTTCGCTAACCTTAGTGGGGCCATCGAGCTTTCGGTGTACGGTGTCATGCAAGGTCGCGGAAGCATCCCAAAGATGAGCAGAAGCAAACTTCTGACTCCAGTCATGCCGGCTGCAAGTTGGGGGGGCTCAGAAACGTCCTTTTGGAATAGAGTTGTGGTGTGGCTTGAAGGCTGCGTAAGAAAGTTCCATGCAAGCTCCTTTGCTCTTGGGGCCGCCAAGCGTATACCTGAAATGTGGCATGGCAACCATTCACAACAGGAGGCTTTCGTTACAGACTTGGTAGCCCTGCTCAGGGATCATAGCGAAGCGTTGGTCCAGCCCTTACTCCAGGTCGCGCGTGAGCAGCGTAAATATCATGCCCAGGCGTGGGCGAAACAAAAGAGCTCATCCTACATATGCTGGTTGAAACATTCCTCCCAGAAGGGCATGAGGCCCCTTTTCAGGAGTGTCAAAGCTGAAGAGGCGATCCACATCAGACCTTTTACGGATGCGCCGGTTCAGGAGCGCATTTACCTCCGATGGAGGCAGTGGTTCGACTTGTGGACGCAGCCTACGGGTGTGGATCCTGAGTTGCTTTGCGAGCTTCGCCGCAGGGCTGTTGAACAAGCCGGGTCGCTTGACCCCATCCCTTTAGATAAAGCGGTTGCGTACTTCAAGAAAGTACCCACTAAAGCCCCTGGCTTAGATGGATGGACATGTGAAGTCTTGCACAATCTTCAGCCAAACGCAGTGCAGGCAATCCTTGACTTTTTCCGCCACTGTGAGCTTGAAGCGTCGTGGCCGGATCAGTTTGTGTTTTCCCTAATCGCCCTTTTGCCGAAAAGTGAAAAGCGAGAACGACCCATTGCGTTAATGCACATTTTGTATCGCTCGTGGGTTCGCCTCCGGTGGAAGCTTGTAGCAGATTGGCAGCAGGCCTACTCCCGGCAGGCTTCCTGGGACAAAGCAGTCCCAGGTAGTCAAGTTTTGGATGTTGCGCTTTCCAGGCTAGTTTTGGGGGAGTCGGTGAGGCATCAGAAACATCACTTGATTACACTTTTTCTTGACCTGGAAACTTTCTACGACCGCTGCCGGTTTGACGACATCATCCGATCAGGTTTCCAACTCGGCTATCCGCCGCTAGTCCTTCACCAGGCAGTTCTCACTTACCTGGGGCCGAGGTTTGTTCAGTCAGAGGGCTCTTTGTGTCCTCCAATCCTTCCCTCGAGGGGGGTGTTAGCTGGTTGTCCAGCTGCGCCCTCTGTCACGAAGCTGGTGATACACCCGATAGCTGAGCGTCTGATGGTTAAGCGCAGCGTCAGCAATCTTGATATCTGGCTTGATGACCTGTCCCTAGACTCGATAAGTAAGTCGGCTTCGCAAGTTGCCAGTGACAGTTTGGTGTTGTTCAGAGGCTTGAGGCGAGACTTCGAGGCTAGAGGTGCGAAGCTGTCAGTTGACAAATCTGCTTTTGTTGCATCTTCGCCAGCGGCGGCTAAGGCCCTACAATCCCTTCTTGAGCCCACTGACCCCAAAGTCAAAACTGTGGCACGTGACCTCGGGGTATCCTCTGGTGGTGCTCGACGCCGTGTGTTGGGAGTTGCAGAGCAAAGACGGCGCAAGGCCATTGGGCGTGCCAAAAAACTTGACAGGCTCAAGATTACCAATTCTGCCCATCGCATCCGTATTGTGCGGGCTTCTGTTTGCTCAGCTGGCTTATGGGGTCACCCCGCGGTGGGGGTGAGCCCTAAACGCCGCAAATACTACCGTACGTTGTGCGCAAAACACGTTGGCAGACAAAAACTTGGTTCCCTTGACATAACTTTCTGGCTCATGCGGCACAAATGTGAAGATCCGCACCTGACCTTGTTGCGTCAGCACATAAGGGCTGTTGCGCGTGTTTTTCGTCGATGGCAAACCTCTGATCCTGATAAATTTGCCAGCACTTGGTCCAGCCTTTGGACCAGGCTCGCCGAGGTGGCTCACCCTTGGAAACGCGTTGCAGGTCCCCTGGCTGCGACCCAGGCTTATCTGCTGGAGTTGGGCGTTTCAGCTCCACAAGCCACGGAGTGGCAATTTGGCACGCGCGTTTTGCGAGTTGACTGGACTTGCTTAGATGCAGTACGCCAGGTCTGGCAGTGGCTTTGCCCTATCTGGGAGCAGTCGTGCATGGACAGGATCGTTGCCTTGGATGGATGCCAGTGTTTAAAAAATGGCATTGACACCACCGTACCGCGCCGTCTCCTTAAGTGAAGGTTTTTCCATAAAAGTACTGCTGTCAATTTGCAGGCGCTTTGGCAAGGGGCTTTGATTAGTTCATCTAAGCCGGGTTGGTGCAAAATTTGTAAATGCCCACTTAGTCTTCAGCATGTCTTGTGGGACTGCCCATACATCTCTACCCGGTTCCCTGAGTCGCCTCACCTCGCCAAGGCCAGACTTAGGTATCCGTGGCCCAGTCTTTGGCTTAGGGGTTTGGTGCCTAAGGAAGCCACCGCCTGCGTGCCTGCACTTTCTGCAGTAGGCTCCGTCACCGACGGGTTGTGGAGTCAAAGCACTGTCCTTTCCAGCCGCAACCTTGTCTTTGCTACTGATGCTTCCGGTGGCCCTGGGGCCAAGGATCCGAGGTCCATATGTGTTTCGTGGGCCATTGCGGCTTACCAGATTGAAGAAGGTGTTCCTCAAAGGGTGGCTAGCGTTACTTGTTTCCCGGAGAGTCCCCTGTCGGTGGCTCAAGCTGAGCAACAGGCCGTCCGTGAACTTTTTGCTCGTGTAGAAGGCGCTTTTGACGCGACCATTGACTGCAAAAGTATCACATCCATCTTGAAGAAGGCCACGCCTCCTATGGAGGGCCCTGTTGACTGGGGTAATGTGTGGCAAGAACGTGACAGAGCAGACTTGCACTGGGTTCCCAGTCACAAAACGAAGGATTACTTCGCTGAACGTAACATCCCGGAATGGCGCCGTTTGATAAATGAGGATGTTGATATGCTTTGTGGAAAACGTGCCGCGCAGGCTCATTCAACACTCCACAGCTGCACTTTGTGTGAAGTTGACCAGCTGTGCGAAGACGTTTGCCTTCATCTTGCTCGCAAAATAGGCCATATTCTTTTAAGTAGGAAGGACAAATCCTTCCCGTGGGTTATGCAACGCAACCTTCAGCATGACGGTGGGGACCTAAGTCCTTCTTTGGCTAAAGTCAAGCCCAGCGCAAACTTTGTAAAGCAGACAGGCAAAGCCTCGGTTGCAGTTCCTAACAAAAAACAGCGCCTAAAGCAGTTGCTTGAGCACCCTGATCCTAGTATGGGTCATGTGTGGCAAGCCAGTGCCACTAAGGCCGTCAATAATTTTGCCGTTTCATGTACGGTGTGCAATCTGTATATCGAGCAGTGTAATGCACCTGATGTGTTTAACAGGAAGGTTGTCAACCCTTGTCAGGACATCCCAGCTGATCCGCCCGAGGGTTGGGTTGTCCATGCTTCGCATGATATGCTTAATAAGGGCTCCTTCTTCATTTGCAGCAAATGTCTTGCCATCGGTAAGATTGCAGCGAGCTCCGCGTCAAAGGCCCTTCGGGAGCCGTGCCGTGGCCTCGCCCGCAAGATGAACAGCGACTTAAGCAGGAAGGCTCATGCAAAAGTTGCGGCCAAGCAAAATCATTCCATTTTTGCGGTCTTTGGAAAGCAGTCTTTGGCTAAGGGGCCGCGAGCTGACAGTGATTTTGAGGGCCTCGTTGCTCCAGCGCCTCAGACTGTGCCGAAAGCGAAAAGTGTTGCTACTAAGCCCAAACCTAAGGCTCCCCAAACTGTGCCTAGGCAAACAATGCTTTCTTTTCAGTAACAAAGTCCAGTTGCACTGTGCCGGGTAGTGCCTTCTTTCCTTGTCTGAGTTTCCCTGGAGAGGTGGCATTTTTCTTCAAAAACCCAACCTCCCCGTTCTCGAGCCGAGAACGGGGGGGTTGGAAATACCTAAACATGCGGGGGCAGTGCGGGGGCAATGCGAGAGGACTCGAGTGATTCTTGCGCTTCAACTCTACCCATTTGCAACGAAAGAAAATGCCAAAGGCTCCTGGTGCCAGGTCGGTTGCTATCGTCCGGGGGTCTTCAGCTCCAAGTGCCAAGTCCGTTGTTTTCAATCTGGGGCTTGAAGCTCCTAGTGCCAAGTCGCTTGATTCGCTTGGAGGCCTGCAGCGCCAAGTTGCTGTCACTTTAGGGCCTGAGCTAGAAGTCGGACCTTCGTACTTGCAGGTGCGAGTGGAAGTGATGCTTGCCGTGATTTTTCCCTTGGCCTCCCCTGCGGCGATGGGGGTGTTAGGATTGGTTTGGTAGGGTTTAGGATGAATTTTGAGCGTCTGCAAAAATGTGAGAGTTGTTTAGGTAAATTGCGATGTTTATCCCTTTGCGGGAGGGCCACAACACGCCCTAGAGACCTTTATGTGGGACACTAAGCAAATGCGCCCATTTGCCTCCGACTGCCCCACGCGCGCACCCTGCGCCGCGGCTCCCAAAGGATAGGTTTCGACTTACGCTGGTGTGCGCTTGTTGGGCTGCACTCGCATAGTCCTTTGCCTTTTTTCGGGTGTGGGTTGGTAGAGGTTTGGGTAATAATTTCCCACTTGCCGGTGTGCGCTTGTATGCTGCACCCGAAGAGTTTCCGCGTTTACTGGCAGTGGCCCTGCCTGGCAGCTTGCAGTCCTCCAGCTTCGGCCTTTCCTGGCAGCTTGCAGTCCTTGAGTTTCGGACATCATTTCATGCAGAGCTTGGAGAATGTGGCCTTGCCTGGCAGCTTGCTGTCCTTGAGCTTCGTATTCGATTTCAACCAAAGCTAGGAGAATGGGGCCTTGACTGGCAGCTTGCAGTCCTTGAGCTTCGGATTCGCTTTTAACCAGAGATTGGCGAATGTGGCCGTGCCTGGCCGCTTGCATTCCTGGAGCGTTGGATAGTGTTTCAACCAGAGCTTGGAGAATGTGGTTTTGCCGGGCGGGTTGCAGTCTTTGAGGTTCGGAGACTGCTTCATACAGAGCTTGCTTGCACTCCTTGAGTTTCGGGGCATGTTTGTTCCATAGCTTGGAGAATTTGGCTTTGCCTGGCAGCTTGCAGTCCTTGAGCTTAGAAGTGTGTTCCAGCCAGGGCTTGGAGAACGTGGCTTTGCCTGGCAGCTTGCAGTCCTTGAGCTTCGGGCTTCGGATACGATTCAACGGGAGCTTGGAGAACGTGGCGTTGCCTGGCAGCTTGCAGTCCTTAAGCTTCGGGCATTGCTTCAGCCAGAGCTTGGAGAATGTGGCCTTTCCTGGCAGCTTGCAATCCTTGAGTTTCGGACATCATTTCATGCAGAGCTTGGAGAATGTGGCCTTGCCTGGCAGCTTGCTGTCCTGAGCTTCGTATTCGATTTCAACCAAAGCTAGGAGAATGGGGCCTTGACTGGCAGCTTGCAGTCCTTGAGCTTCGGATTCGCTTTTAAACAGAGATTGGCGAATGTGGCTGTGCCTGGCCGCTTGCATTATTGAGCGTTGGATAGGGTTTTGCAACTTTGAGGTTCGGAGACTGCTTCATACAGAGCTTGCTTGCACTCCTTGAGCTTCGGGGCATGGTTGTACCATAACTTGGAGAATGTGGCTTTACTTGGCAGCTTGCAGTCCTTGAGCTTAGAAGTGTGTTCCAGCCAGAGCTTGGAGAACGTGGCTTTGCCTGGCAGCTTGCAGTCCTAGAGCTTCGGGCTTCGGATACGATTCAACGGGAGCTTGGAGAACGTGGCGTTGCCTGGCAGCTTGCAGTCCTTGAGCTTCGGGCATTGCTTCAACCAGAGATTGGAGAATGTGGCCTTTCCTGGCAGTTTGCAGTCCTTGAGTTTCGGACATCATGTCATGCAGAGCTTGGAGAATGTGGCCTTGCCTGGTAGCTCGCTGTCCTTGAGCTTCGTATTCGATTTCAACCAAAGCTAGGAGAATGGGGCTTGACTGGCAGCTTGCAGTCCTTGAGCTTCGGATTCGCTTTTAACCAGAGATTGGCGAAGGTGGCCGTGCCTGGCCGCTTGCATTCCTTGAGCGTTGGATAGTGTTTCAACCAGAGCTTGGAGAATGTGGTTTTGCCAGGCGGGTGGCAGTCTTTGAGGTTCGGAGACTGCTTCATACAGAGCTTGCTTGCACTCCTTGAGCTTCGGGGCATGTTTGTACCATAGCTGGGAGAATGTGGCCTTGCCTGGCAGCTTGCAGTCCTTGAGCTTAGAAGTGTGTTCCAGCCAGAGCTTGGAGAACGTGGCTTTGCCTGGCAGTTTGCAGTCCTAGAGCTTCGGGCTTCGGATACGATTCAACGGGAGCTTGGAGAACGTGGCGTTGCCTGGCAGCTTGCAGTCCTTGAGCTTCGGGCATTGCTTCAACCAGAGATTGGAGAATGGGGCCTTTCCTGGCAGCTTGCAGTCCTTGAGTTTCGGACATCATTTCATGCAGAGCTTGGAGAATGTGGCTTTGCCTGGTAGCTTGCTGTCCTTGAGCTTCGTATTCGATTTCAACGTTCGCTCTTTGAGAGGTGGCGTCAGTGTTTGCTTCAGTGCTGTGAAGGAGGATGCCGGGACTTGCTTGCATGCCCGTTGTATTCGTGGCTCTCTCGGCATCTGCGTTATGGCACTTGACACCTGGTCCAGCTTGACTCGTGTGCAGACGTTTTGCTCCGTTACCTGTGGGTGGCGGGGCGACACTTTCTGTAGGCAGGTAGTCTCTGCTGTAGATCGGTGTCCTGGTAGTTTTTCCTTTTCACTTAGCCTTGGAGCTGCGACCGTTTTGCCGCTCGGAAAGAAAAATTCACCTGGCTCAAGTTTCGGCTCAACCCCGGTGGGGTGCTCAGGTAGGGAGTGCTGTTGCCTGGAGACTGTACCTAAGGGTGGGCTCCAACAGTACTCAAACCGAAACCACTGTGTTTGCTTGGTAGTCGGCTGCCAGCAACATAGCTGCCTGAGTACGGCCTCGCCAAGTGCTGAGGGAACTTTTGGCCTCGCATCGGCAGAGGGTGTGTTTTCGGCCTCGCTTCGGCAGAGGGAGGGGCTAGTTTCGGCCTCGCTCCGGCTGAGGACACCTAGAGTTCGGCCTCACTACGGTTGAGGGGATCTTCAGGCCTCGCATTGCTGAGGTGCTGGTGGGACTGGCATCAGGCTGCAGCAGTCATGGGGAAGCATTGTACTGTGTGTGCCCACTGTGAGGTGGGTTGGGTCTGGAATGAAGACTTGTACTACAACCCGAACTGCTGGCATTGCGGAAAGGCGTGGAAAAAGGCCACCTACCGTGAGCGAGCATGGTCAAGCCAGCGTAAGAAGTGGCAGTGGCCAAAAGACGACGCTACATGGTGGACAAGACAGGCCAAGAACAAAGAAGGGATGGCCGACCAAGCCCTCACGAAGGCGTGGGGTACGCTTTCTATGGAGGCAAAGAAGGCCATTGAAGAAGCAGGATGGAAGCCGCGGACGATGGAGCCGGGGCCCAATTGGCCCCCGGGACTACCAGGCAGTGGATCGCAAACCGAAAGCATGACGCAAAAGGAGTACCACGAGGCCATTGAAACGGTGTGGCAGGGAGCTGAGCCCGCAGTGCAAAGGCTGCTCAGAGCAGCGGGTATTCCCCCGCCAGGGGATTACAAGCCTGAGGATGAGACGCCAAAGCAGGAGCTCAGCCGCCATGTTGGTACATACAGAAGGACGACAAACAAGCTGAGATCACTCATTGAGAAGAAGGTCCGGCTTCAAGACAAAACGGAAAGGATCAAGAGCGAGTTCGAGCAGGCCATGAAGCAGCTTGCGCAAGTCAGCCAGGCCATCCAGACCACGGAGCTTGAGGTTGCGGAAGCACAGAGGAAGGTACAAGCCTGTGTGAAAGATGAGGAGGATTCGCCGTACAAGGACGTCGCGTCCTACCTGGAAAAGGAAGGGATCATCCTGACCGACGAGCAAGCGGAAGCGCTCAAAACAAGGATGGCAGTCAAGGTCGTGGAGACAGACTGGACTGGAGTCTTGGGACCACGAGAGCCAGGCATGCCAACCGAACTTGGCATGTATGGGCCGATGCGCATGTCTCGAGATGTGTCAGTCAGGGCAACGCCGACGGGGCGCGAACGCTCGCCGGCGCGTGCCCATGGCGAATGAAGCTTCGGGCTGGGACAGGAGTGGAGGGGCCGACACCTCAGAGTCGCTCCTGGTCCGAACAGCCAAAAGAAGCAAGCAAGACAGTCTCAGGAGTCTCAATGGGGAGACTCTGTTTACACTTTTGGTGGTGGCCGGAAGCAGTGTCACGGGGACATTGTATGGCCACAGGCGCATGGGGAAGGCAGTCAAGCTGTGTCTAGTACCCATGTGCCTAGTACAAACAGCACAGTGGAAGACAGCCAAGAGAGCTGGAGTCCAGTTACGAGGGGTCCGGAGCCTGTCCGAGCTGTGGACAGCAGTTGGGCGGTCACAGGGCCCAGATACTTCCATATAACAAGGGAAGACATCGAAGAGGAATGTGAGCATTCGGCCTCGCGAGAAGCTGAGGGAAGCCAAATACAGATGAGAGACCATGCAGCGGTTAGAGGGGAGAACATGAAGGCCTCGCAGGAAGCTGAGGAAACACGATTCTCGGCCTCGCCGTGTGCTGAGGGTCGCAGAGGAAAACAAAAGCCCAAGAAGCGGAAAGCAAAACCCACGGAACCACCAAAAGATCTGCCACAGGAGTGGCAAACGCTATGCCAAGTGGTGGGTAGATATGATGCTTCCAGTGAAGCTGCTGCACTCGACGCCATTGAGAAGCTGGAAGAGCAGGAACTCAACCCGCTACAACAACGAGCATGCCACGAAGTGCTTCGTTCCTTTGTGGAGCATGACGCACAATATGCCAAATGGATCTTGGCAGATGTGGCAAGTGGGTATCGCCAAGATGATAAGGCCGAATGCATCAAAATCACAGCGGCTAACATCACCAGCTGGAGGAAACCCATAGCGGCATGGATACACGAACTAGGACCGGACCTGGTGGTGCTGCAGGAAACCCATCTCAAGACGGAGGGTATCCAGCAAGCCATGAGCCATTGCCAAGTCAAGATATGGGATACACCTTCATAGGCATGCCAGGCAGTACAAAAATTAAGGGTGTACAAGGAGGCCTGGCAGTGGTGGCACCCCGACATAGGAATCTGCGATACCTTACCGAGTATGGATCAGGACCGGCGGGCTTCCTGGCATGTGCCATGAGAAACAAAGGCTGGGATTTGATCATCGTCAGTCTGTATTTGGAGAGCGGGGTCGGATTCCAGGCTCCAAACAATATCCAAGTACTGGCGAGACTGATAGCCTTTCTTAAGGGCTTCAAAGTGCCATATATGGTGCTGGGAGATTGGAATGAAGCCCAGGATACCATGAGGGGCACAACTATGGCGACAGAAGTTGGTGGTGCATTTGTAGGAGTGGGGGAACCAACGGCCCAAGGATCGGACGAAATTGATTACGGGCTGGTTGCGAAATGCTTGGTGCCCATCCTGCAAGTGAAAACGGATTGGGAAACCCCTTTTCGGCCTCATGCTGCGATGCATTGGAGGGTAGCACAACCGTGCAGTAGCCCTGATGTTCCCCAGCTGAAGAAGGCGGGAGCATTGGTGACGGAGACTGTGGAATACGAACCAGTTCAAAACACACAGAGCATCAACATCCTGGATGAACCCAAGATGGAAGATGAGCTCAGTGAGACATTCGCTCACCTGAGTGCCGGGGTGGAGAGGTCGATCACAGGCCGAATCGAAGGCATGGGTGTTAAATCCGAGATTGTCCGGAAGAAGTTGGTGGTCAACAACCCGGAGAACGTTGTCTGGACAGGCAAGCGGGCGGCCTTTTGGAACAGGGTCCAACAATGGGTCAAACAAGGCAGACATCATGGCGATGCGCATCCGGTGGCGCGTCTGGTCCAACGCAGGCTCGGCGAGTATTACGAGGGTGATGCGCAGAACCAGGAGGATATGCTCGTGAATATCCTGGGCCGGGGTACGGACGCTAGGCTTGTTCTGAAGCGCATCGACGAACAGCAATGCTACGCGAGAAAGGCGGATATGGAAGAGACAGCCCACCAGTACAAGCAATGGCTCAGCAAGGCCATGGAAAAGGGCATGCGACCATTATACAATGCCTTTCGAAAAGAAGAACAAGTGGTACAAAGACCCTACATGGAATATGACATGCTGGAACGGCCACACATTCGCCGAGACCACTGGGCGGCAGTGTGGACGACGGGCCAGCCGTTGGCAAAATCGGCCTCGCTCATGACGGAGCTTGAGGATGCAGCCAAAAAACAAGCGGCCAGCGTGGAGCCGCTGAACCCTGTCGAGGTCAAAGCAAGGATCAAAAAACTGGCACTAAAGAGCCCGGGGCCGGATGGCTGGAGGATTGACCATTTGCAGGCCATGGACGACAAAGCAGTTGAAGCCGTTGTGTCCTTCTACCATGAATGTGAGGCCAAGGCAGCATGGCCGCAGCAAATGACAGTCTCCCTTATAGCAATGCTGCCGAAGAATCTGACCCGGGAAAGACCAATCGCCTTGCTACACATCCTGTACAGGACCTGGGTCCGTTTGCGATGGGATTTGGTAAGTACTTGGCAGGTAGGCTATGCCCAAACTGCTACGTACGACAAGGCAGTCCCAGGCAGTTGCTGCTTGGACGTGGCCGTAGGCAGACTACTGCGAAATGAGGTGGCGAAGACAAATGGTGTGCATGTGGTGTCACTCTTTGTGGACCTCGAGTCCTTTTTCGATACCATCCAATTTCAGTAATTGATCACGGCAGCAACGGCCCTGCAATATCCACCGCTAATCTTGAAGATGGCACTGGAAGTGTACATGGGTGCCAGATATTTGGTGGCGGATGGGGTGCTGTCGGCAGGCATCAGAGCTACGAATGGCGTGCAAGCAGGGTGTCCAGCTGCGCCATCGTTGGCAAAGGTGGCATTGCACCCGGTGATTGATAAGATCCAAAGGCGACGAGATGTGGCAAACGTGGATTGTTGGTTGGATGATGTCTCAATTGACATCCAGCATAAGTCCTTTAAACAAGTGGCGGATAGTGCGATACGAGTCTACCGCAGCTTAAAGGACGGGATGGACGCTAATGGTTTCACGATTTCATCCAAGAAGACGGGGTTTGTGGCCAGCAGTACCCAGGCGAGCAAGCACCTGCGAGAACTCCTGTTGCCTCATGAGCCACAGGTGTACGACGTGATGCGTGACTTGGGCGTCGACAGTACAGGGGGGCGAAAGCGTCGCTTGGTGACGTCGGCAACGCGGGCCAAGAAAGCCCATGCGAGACATAGCAAACTGTCCAGGCTGGGGCCGCCGCCCAGCACTAAACTCCGCGTGGTCAAGGCAGCGATCACATCCGTTGCTTTGTGGGGGCACCCCTCTGTGGGGGTATCACCTAAAAGAATGAAATGGCTCCGAACAGTGGTAGGAAAACACCTGGGTAAATACAAGCTTGGGAGTTTGGAAACCATCTTGGACATGGGAGCCAAGAAATGCCAGGATCCAAAGCGCACAATCCACAAGCAGCATTTCAAGGTGGTGGCCAAGGTTTTCCGTGCATGGATTGGTGGCGGTAAAGCCCACTTTGACTTGGCTTGGAAAACCACTTGGAAGAGGTTGAGTGCGGCCAAACACCACTGGCCACTGGTCACGGGGCCGATGGCAGCAACCATGGCGTACTTAATGGATCTGAAGGTGGATGCCAGTGACCCAGGCAAATGGAAGAGAGGAAGTGTCCTCAACGTTGATTGGACCCAGCCACGCATGGGTAGCCTCGCCTACAAATGGCTTGAGGGATTCCTGGAGGAACAAAAACGGGCTGCAATAGCGCGACAGGCAGGTGGCGCTGGTGCCCAAGAGGGGCTGGATTGGACGCCGCATCACAAGCTGACGAAGCTGGGAGGCCTAAGCCCAGGCCTTATGGAAGGTATAAAGTCAGTGTGGCACGCGGGCGTCATCACGGAGACCAAGCCAGGATGGTGCAGGAAGTGCCAAATGCCAGCAACTCTGGAGCATGTCCTCAAGGAATGTCCTTACTGGCGTGAACAAGGGTTCAGAGAACCCAAGCTCCAGGAATACTTGCGTCACAAATACCCATGGGAGTGTTTGTGGACAAGGGCACTCCTGCCAAAGCCGGCGGTGTGGCACCCGAAGCCGCCGGAACACCTTTTAGGTCTGCGATACCAAGGATGCTTCGCAGCTGATGCAAAAGTGGAAGCGGAAGGCTTGATCTTCGCCACTGACGCAAGTGGAGGTCCAGGAGGAATAGACCCACGTGTACAAACATCAGCCCTTGCAGTGGTGGCTATGTCCTGGACAAAAGGTGTCCTGGTGGAAGTCGGACGGATTACAGAGCTGGTCTACCCGTGGCAGCCGGTGGTGGACATGGAGCGTCGTGCACTTTTCCGACTAATGGAGCATACGGAGGATCTGATTGATGTCACTATGGATTGCAAGCCGGCAGTCCAAGTGCTACAAAAAACACAACCGCCGGAGGATGACCTGGAATGGAGCAAAGTGTGGAATGGCAGGAAACGTATCAAGGCAACATGGGTCCCGTCCCACAAAACTGAAGAGGAATTCCTGGCGAAGATGGGGCCGGGTACGTTGTGGCGACGTGCAGCGAATGACATGGCAGACAAAGTATGTGGAGCAGTGGCGGCGGCTGCTTACAGCCCAGCGCACAAGAGGCGTGTCAAAGAATTGGACAATGTGGTGCGCACACTTTCCCTGGCGTACGGTGCACGCGCAGCCCACATATTGCGGAAGCGCAAAGAAGAAGACTTCCCCTTCATCCTGGACCATGCGCATTACAAAGAGAAGATGGAAGCCTCGCAGAAAGCTGAGGGATGCAAAAAAGAGCAGGGCAGCGCCAAACTCAACAAACGCCAGCGGCTTTGGCAGTTGCTTAAAAACCCGGAGCGCGGGCATCAATGGGAGAAGGGCAGCGAACACCCCCGGAATTTAACACTGAAATGTCAACTGTGCGGGTTGTATGTACAACAAACCCTCACGAACTTGGAGGTGGTCTTGGAGCAGTACTGCGTCAACCAGCCGGAGGCGCGAGTGCGTGAAGAGTGGGGTATCCACCCCTCCCATAATATGGTGAATTTGGGAATCCGTTGGGTTTGCACAAAGTGTGACAGAACACATGCACCGGTCAGCCAGAAGTGCAACAAAAGCCTGGCGGGTGAGTGCAAATCGCGGACTTCACAAGGCAAGCTGGCTACCCAAGCGCAAACCCTTGTCAATGGTGGAAGTATGAGCAACGTCCAGTTTCAGCAGCCTCGCGTTCAGTTTGGTGGGAAACACGCCAAAGCTAAGCCCCAAGCCAGCGCACAGCAGAAGATGTCGTTGTTTGTTAGGCCTCGCCAAGCTGAGGGAGCGCAGTAATTCCGCAGCCGTTTGGTGCAAGGAGCAGGGTTTTTTCGGCCTCGTAGCTGAGGGTGAGGGCCTCGCAACGGGGACTTGCGATTGGTGTTTACGGCCTCGCTTTGCTGAGGGAGTGTAATTCGGCCTTGCGGTGCCGCGTGCTTGCGACATCGCCGGACAAGGCGGGCCTGTGGCAATGAGGCAATGGAAGACGGATGCTACGATGAGAAGACAAGGGTCCCGACTGCCATCCTGGTTAAGGAATCGGCCGGACAAAGGCAAGGGCAAAAGCAAGAACAAGCAGAAGGATCAGCCCCGTGAACGTTCCCCGCTTCGACAGGCCAGACACCCGGAGCAGCCTTGGGATAGTGAAGAGGAGAGAGCTTCGGAATCTCCGGTGGGTCCGGTACGCCTACGGGAGAGAGGAGAAGACAGTACGGCCTCGCCTCAAGCTGAGGGTGTCGATGAAGAGCAAGATGCAAGCCAGCCTCGTACTGTCACGCTGGCGGAAGGGCCAGGTGCCCACAATATGGCCTCGCAGGAAGCTGAGGGAAAGGAGAAAAAGAAAGCCATGGGGCAAGTCAAGCCTGTGCACCTTTTGGTGCATAAATTGCAGAACCAGCAAAGGCCAAGGACAGCGCTCCATTGGCTTGGGGAGGTCCAATTGGTCTGCAACCCAACGACAGGGCAAAGCTTACAGCCTAGGGTGCTTCCCTTTATAGGTGCGGGGCGCACTCGACGAGGATATGCTCTGGATCGGCTATGGGTCATGAAACTAGCGATGGAACCCCAGAGCTTTGGCAACGAAGCAGGGTATGGGGAACAATTCCCCACCCTGGTCACCAGGACCCTGTGGGCAGGATGGATTGGAGTCCTTTTCGACGAAGCGGTGGAGGGTTACTGCCACCACTACTTCTATGGAAGTATCATCCGCAGGGCAGAGCTGTTCAACACATGGTGGCAGGAACATCGCCATGAAGCCGGGGTCCTCAGACAGTCCCTGTTTTACCTGGTGGCTATAACGTCATGGCTGACCATGCAAGGAGTTGCTCTATCGGATATCACGGTGAGCAACGTTGGGCGCGACCCAATGTCAGGATCGCTACCACGGGCAATGTTCTTTGACACGGCGGAGGGGACGACGCTGCAGGAGGAGAGATACAAGATATCATGCGGCCTCGTACGCCTCCTGGAGAAATATGATGAGGAGCTACTGGCAACCATACGTGGATTGGTCAGAACGTACGACGGCAAGGCAAGCGCGCTTTGGATGGCGTGCGTAGGCAATGTCGGGCCATTTGCCCAGCACCTGCTGGATGCCGGAATTGCAAAACGAGGATGGGATGGAACCCTACATTCGGTTCCGGCAACAGAGATCCAGAAAATCACGTTGGGCATGCCGCATGACGAAGCTGATGAGTGAGCAGCGCAGAACAGACAAGAAACATGGATAGTGGTCAGAGAGGCACCAACAAACCGAATCAAAATACCGCCTCGGCGTGCTGCCTGAGGAGTTTCGGCCTCGACTTCGGTCTGAGGGGTGCAAGAGAGGGAAGTTCGGCCTCGGCATGACCTGAGGGAATTTCGGCCTAGACCACGGTCTGAGGGAATGGATTTCGGCCTCGACAAAAGTGAGGGCTAGTACCGGTAGTCTCACTGTGCAGAGTTTGTAGCTTGTATGTTTCACCCACTAACCTCAGCCCCTTCGGGTGGCTACGCCTCGCAGCGTGCAGACGAAAAATTCACCTGGCTCAAGGTTTCGGCTCAACCCCGGTGGGGTGCTCAGGTAGAGAGCGTCTTTAGTGCCGTTGTGGCTGGCCCTGGGGCTTGTAACTAAGGGTAGGTTCCGTTTTGAGGCCCTGGCAAAACTGTGTTTGCTCGTAGGCCGGCTGACCGGCTAAGCTGTCATAGAGCGGCGGCCCGCCAACTGCTGCCGTCGACGAAGGGCGTGAGTGCACAGTTTTCGGCCTCGCTTCGCTGGAGGGAAGCTTTTCGTCCTCGCGTTGCTGAGGGAACCTTGTGACCTACAGTCTGCTCTGGGTCACAGTGAGAGTTGCAGCCTCGCTTTGCTTGAGGGGTGACGCTAGCCTGTTGCTCACCAGAGATTCCTGCTGTCTCTGGGTGAGCAAAACCCACCGACCCTCATTTGGATTGAGGGCTGTGCTGAAGGTGAGTTTGGGTTCCTCGCTCACTTGTGTGGAAAACGAAGGTGAGACCGAAACACGGGGGAAAACGGCCAGGCACGCTGCAGACAGTGCAGGCCAACGTCGCACTGCAAGAGGCATCCTTGCAGTGGCGACAGGAGTGTCCCGAACAATTGCGGTGTGCTCGAGCCCAAGCTTGCAGGTTTTCGGGGATCTGCAAGCTGAGCACAACAGGATTTTCTTCGCAGGTAGAATCAGGTAGAAAAGATTTGGCCCAACCCTGGTGGATCTGCCTGGACACAAATAACCAGAGGCATCAGTGTCGTAAAGCTCATTGACTGGTGCTACTGAGAAACCGTTGCCAAAGAACTTGCAGTAGGACTGTGGTGCGGCGCAGTGCAAGTTGAAGAGCAGCTGTTGGTGGCTGCTCCCCGGAAAACCAATAGTCCAAGAAGCCTCCTTCGGCCTCGCTCCGTGCTGAGGGTTTGTAAGGGTTGGTATTGGCCGGAAAGGATTCAGATGGAGGTTACCCGATCTTCGCGCTTTTCCCATCTGAAGGCAACCAATGGTAATCAGCCTGCTGGACATGGCAGGCCTGCTTTTGTTTACATCCACGTCTCCTGCAAGGGCTGGGGTCTGTCCGTGCACACAGACAAGGCGGAACCTTGCAGATGTTTAGGTCCTCGCGGCACGGCCGCTGGAGGTTGTTTGAAGATGTTGGCTCTCACTATCTGGTGAGTGGTTTGTATGGGCACTTGCTGGGGCAAGGCGGCTCTGGCGTCTGAGGATGGTACATGTGCTGGCTGCTGAGTACGGGCCACCGAAAGAGACCTGTGGTAAGACAAGCGATGAAAGGAGCCGAACTCCTAAACTCTAGGACAGGCTAGCTCACGCGGACGCCACGCAGAGTATGTGTCACTATCTTCAGATGTTGGAGCCAAATTGCCTAGCCGTGTGACGTGAGATGTGGTGTTTGGATTCGGCCTCAAGCACTGGAAGGCCTACAACAACAAATCCGAATGAAAACTGTGGTCCTAAGACACGCGGTGCAGCTGCTTATACGTGGCACCGCGGGGGTCACATAGAGATAGAGGGCTTGCCAGCAAGGGAACTCTGTCTAGAGAGAGCCCTGGCTCAGTGAGGAGCTGAGGGCCTGGCTGCGCAGATGCAGCGGAATGGTTGTTCGGCCTCGCCTCCGCTGAGGGAACAACAGTCAATGCTTCTCTGCAGTGTCGGTCCGGGTTAGTAAGAGCGAGAACGCCGGGACCTCGAGCTGCAGTTTTACCATGAAGCAACCGCGTGAGATGCATTATTGGTCAACTGGTGAGTAAGAGCGAGAAAGCCAGGGTGACGCTACTTTGGGGGAGGCTGCAAGGCACGGTTAGTAAGTGCGAGAAAGCCGGAGCTGCGGACGAACCTGGAGTAGCAGTCTTTCATACCTCACGTGTTTCACTTTGCGGCCTCGCATGCGCTGAGGAAATATGCCTCGAACAGAACATCCAGTGCTGAGTGGGGATTGCCAAACTTACGGAGGCTGATGCCACAACAAGTGCCTCAACAGCAATGCATGCGGAGGGCAAAGTTCGGCCTCGCGAGTGCTGAGGGTTGCAGCTGAGAGAGGGCCTAGCTGAGAACGCAACACCTCAAGCGAGGTAATTTTTAGTTTAGTTTCACCTTGACCAACGGCCCCTTCGGGTGGCTACGCCTCGCAGCGTGCAGACGAAAAATTCACCTGGCTCAAGGTTTCGGCTCAACCCCGGTGGGGTGCTCAGGTAGAGAGCGTCTTTAGTGCCGTTGTGGCTGGCCCTGGGGCTTGTAACTAAGGGTAGGTTCCGTTTTGAGGCCCTGGCAAAACTGTGTTTGCTCGTAGGCCGGCTGACCGGCTAAGCTGTCATAGAGCGGCGGCCCGCCAACTGCTGCCGACGACGAAGGACGTTCGAGTGCACAGTTTTCGGCCTCGCTTCGCTAGAGGGAAGCTTTTCGTCCTCGCGTTGCTGAGGGAACCTTGTGGCCTACAGTCTGCTCTGGGTCACAGTGAGAGTTGCAGCCTCGCATTGCTTGAGGGGTGACGCAAGCCTGTTGCTCACCAGAGATTCCTGCTGTCTCTGGGTGAGCAAAACCCACCGACCCTCATTTGGATTGAGGGCTGTGCTGAAGGTGAGTTTGGGTTCCTCGCTCACTTGTGTGGAAAACGAAGGTGAGACCGAAACACGGGGGAAAACGGCCAGGCACGCTGCAGACAGTGCAGGCCAACGTCGCACTGCAAGAGGCATCCTTGCAGTGGCGACAGGAGTGTCCCGAACAATTGCG